CGGTTCAGCCAGTTGCCCACGACACCCAGGCCGTAGTGCCGCTTCTTCCGGTCGAAGGCAAAGTGCCTCACCTTGGATGCGATGCGCTTGCCACGTTTGGCCGCGGGCACCGGGGCTCGGTCAGACTCCTTCCTGGTGAGGACGGTGGTCTCAGCCTGGTGTCCTCCCCTCCCACATCCCATGAGGGGGGTCAGGAGGGACCTGTGGTCTAGGGAAGCCCCCTGGGAGGGTCGTTGGGCTCTTTCTCCACGGTGCCGCCTCCCTCCACCTGGAGGACTGCCCAGAACTCACAGAGGGATCTGCACCTCTTCGGGGGAGACCGGGGAGCCCGAGCGGGGGAGGCCCCGGAAGTAGCTGGCAGAGAGTGGGGGCGACTCAAACACATCATCAGGCACGGAGCTCATTTCTTCCTGGAGTGGGTGTGGAGTCGGGGTCGCAACAAGAGACAGTGTGAGGAGTCACCGTCTCCAGCACTGCCCCCAGTAGCTCAATTAAAGGGCAGGACAAAGCCGGACAGGCTCTTTGGAAGGGAGGTAGAAGGCACGTGTTTGTGGGCCCTGATGGGGACTTTCCCGGCTGGCACCCTTCCTCACCCCAGGTCCTTTGCCCTGCCGACAGAAAGACGCACCCCCATCCCACCAACGGGCCTTTGGACATCTCAGGGACTCCCAGCAGAGCATGACTGAGGCCGGGTGACCTCTCCTGGCTCCCACCCACCCCGGTCCCCCGAACCCGAGGGCCCACACACCCCATGCTTGCCTTACTAAAAAATGAGGAGTAGAACGTCTCTGCTCCATCGACCGCATCCTCCTCCAGGAAGCTGGGGTAGGCAAAGCTGCGCTTGACCACCCGGCACCGCTGTCCTGTGGCATCCATTACCGAGCGCCCCTGTGCCAGACAGAAGAATGGGCATCAAGCCCAGGTCAGGTACGCCTGCCCCTGACACCAAAGGAGTCTGTCAAGCCCATCTGTCCGGGGAGGTGGGTCCCTGCCCAGAACATGTGCATCTGCAAGAGAGGCCAGGACTGGGCTCCGGCTCCTGCGTAGCCTGACTGCAGCAATCTCTACATGGTTGGCTCTTAACTTCTCCATGGTGACTTCCGGCCCTCTGGCTTGGGCACCTGACACCCCACCACTCATCCTGCACCCTTATTCCCACAGGCTTCTTGGCATGGCACACCAGGCCCCTGCTGACTTTTTGATCCCATCTCCTGCCATTCCTCTTGTAACCACCTTCACTAAAACCACCTGCTACTCCCCCCTACCTCCAGGCCTTTGCATAGGCTGTTCCCTCTGCTGGCAATGCTGTTCCCTTCCTGGCAAACCTTTCCTTATATTTCTCAAGTGCCTTCCCTGACACCAGCCCCTCCTCCGGGTGGGCCCCAGCACTTATCACACTGAATGGTGACACCTGCCCTCACCCGAGCTGAGGGCTCCTCTAGGGCAGTGACACTGGCTCAACTCACTCTGTAGCCCCTGTGCCCAGCACATAAGGGGGTTCAGTAAACACGGGTCAGTGAGTGATGCCTGCATGTTTCACTTCCTACTTTCTACCTTATGTGTCAGTGCAGAAACCAGCTGTCCACACTAGGGACAACTAGAAGTGGACCACTTCTAGTGGGACCACTAGAAGGATGTGGGTCTGGCTGCTTGAGCTGCCACCGCCCCACCCCCCACCCCGCCCAGGGATCCCGGAGCAACCACTGCCCTTGGCACAGAGGAAGATGCCTGGGGACACAGGTGCTCTGGAGAGAGAGATGCTCTGGGGAGAGAGATGCTCTGAGGAGAGAGATGCCTGGGGAGAGAAAATCTCTGGGGAGAGAGATTCTCTGGGGAGAGAGATGCCTGGGGAGAGAGATGCTCTGGGGAGAGAGATGCTCTGGGGAGAGAGATGCCTGGGGAGAGAGAAGCTCTGGGGAGAGAGATGCCTGGGGAGAGAGATGCTCTGGAGAGAGAGATGCCTGGGGAGAGAGATGATCTGGGGAGAGAGATGCCTGAGGAATGAGATGCTCTGGGGAGAGAGAGGGAGCAGGCTGGGCAGAGGTGTCTTTACCTTGAGGAAGGCCGTGGCAGCTTGAAAGCTCATGTGGGCCACAGAGATCCTCTTGCGGTGGGGCAGGTGGGAATAGCCGGAGCGGACGCTGGTGAAGGAGGTGAGGGACAGGACCCCAGGGGTCAGGGGTGGGTGCGGGGCGTGGGGCCGGTCCACCTCGTCCGGGTGGCGGAACGCCCGTCCTCGGGCCAGGGGATCCACAATCTGGACAGGAGGGAGGTGGTGAGCAGAGTCAACTGGGCCCTGGGCCAAGTCATCTGCCACCCCGCATCCCCCACTGGAGCCCACCTTGGGCATCTTGCAGGGTCTTGGAGATTCGGTGCCCTGGAAGGAGGGCACCTCTTGGCTGGGGAGCTCCAGGTCCCGCTGGCACGAGGCCTTGAGCCGACCGTAGCGGGCGCTGCAGTGGTGCAGGCTCCTGCGCTGCCAGTGCTGGCGCTTCAGCTCCCAGTCGCCACTGACCCCGAACCACTGGGCCGTGCCCCTGCGGGAGCAGATGGGGTGGGGAACAGGCGGGTGTGTGACACGGGAGCGACCACAATGAGAGAAAGGCCATGTGTGCAGAGAGGTGCCAAGAGAGGTGACAGGGCACGTGTGTGTGCAGGGGAGGTGACGGGGCACGTGTGTGTGTGCAGAGGTGACAGGGCATGAGTGTGTGTACAAGGGAGGCGACAGGGCGCGTGTATGTGTGCAGGGGAGGTGACGGGGCACATGCGTGTGTGTAGGGGAGGTGACGGGGCACGTGTGTGTGTGCAGCGGGAGACGACAGGGCACATGTGTGTGTGTGTGTACGCAGTGGGAGGGGCAGATCAGCTTCCCCTTGATCCCTGGTTCGGTGCCCAGGAACCAGATGGGCAGAGGGGGATTCAAGTCAAGAGCCTGAGGGCTGAGCTGGGAAGGCCCTGGGAGCTGCTCTGAAGGGCAGTGGTCCACCCCCAGCTCCCTGACTCCCCTCAGCCTCCTCACTGTGGCTTCCTACCAGGCACAGAGCAGCCTGGGCCTCAGTTTCCCCTCCTGGACCATGGGCTGCCTGCCCGTGCCTCCCAGGAAGGGCCCAGGTCCCAAGAGTTGACTGGTCCAGGGTGGATGGGGAGGAGGTGGGGATGCGGCAGGTGTGCTCACTTGCGGATGCTCTGGGACAGGGAGGCCTGTCGGCGGAAGCCGGGGCGCTTCTCCGAGCCGCCCTCCTGCCATCGTGCCCTCTGCTCCTGGAGGCTGATGCTCTTCAGTAAGGCTGGGTTCCTGGGCCTCTGTGGACAGCAGGCAGGAGCATGGGCTGTGACTGCCTGCAGCCCAGATCCCAGGCTGGCTCTGCTCTGGCTCCCAATGTGAAGACCCAGAAAGAACAAACCTCGACCCGAGTCTACCCCAAGCTGCTTTCATTCCGAGGGTCAAATCGTCATTTTCTAGTGTCTTCGGCGATCCCAGCACACGCTTCCCTAGCTCCCTATCCAGCGCTCCTGCCTTAGTCCTTAGCCGTGGCTAAGCCTTGGCCTCGCCTGGCTTTATATGTTTGAAAGAGCCCTTGGCATGAGTGGGCGGCATGAGACAGCCTCCCCGGTGCCCCAGGCTGCACGGGGAGCCCACGCTCTTTTTTTTTTTTTTTTGCGG